ATCATCATCATCATCATCATCATCATCATTTCCAGCAGGGCAGCTGATTTAATGATTTATAGCTGTTGAGGTCAGGAAATTTCTTACTTTGAGTTCAAAGCTCCCTCTTGAGATAGGTACTGTCCTTGGGCATTAGGAGAAGAGTGGGGGTCCTCAGTTTTGACTTACTCCTCTTGGTATTTCCAGATAAATGCCAAAAAGGATCAGCTGGCTGATGCAAAAGCCGGCCTGCGAAAGGCCAGGGTGGAACACAAGTGTAAGAAGGTGGCGAAGTCAAAAGCGTGAGTAAAAAATCTTGGTTCTTTTTAGGCCTCGGATATATAATCTCAGCAATGGCCATCCCTCGTTATTCTCATTGATAAGATATGTAGATGTACATCCATGTGAGCTGGTTGGGTGAAAGCTGGCTGGGTGATTTTGTACCAATCACCCGGAGACTGGGAGTTCTAGTCTCACCTGAGGACGAAAGCCAGTTGGGTGACTTTGGGCCAATCACTGGGAGACAGTGAGTTCTAGTCTTGCCTTAGGCACAAAAGCTACATGTACCTGGGTCATTGGACCAATTAGCTGGAGACTGGGAGTTCTAGTCTCAGGCATGAAAACCAGCCAGACTGGACCAATCACCGGGAGACTGGGAGTTCTAGTCTCACCTTGGGATGAAAGCCAGCTGGGTGACTTTGGGCCAATCATTGGGAGACTGGGAGTTCTAGTCTCACCTTAGGATGAAAGCCAGCTGGGTGACTTTGGGCCAATCACCAGGAGACAGTGAGTTCTAGTCTCACCTTAGGATGAAAGCCAGCTGGGTGACTTTGGGCCAATCATTGGGAGGCTGGGAGTTCTAGTCTCACCTTAGGATGAAAGCCAGCTGTGTGACTTTGGGCCAATCACCAGGAGACAGTGAGTTCTAGTCTCACCTTAGGATGAAAGCCAGCTGGGTGACTTTGGGCCAAGCATTGGGAGGCTGGGAGTTCTAGTCTCACCTTAGGATGAAGCTGTCTGGGTGATTTTAGGCCAATCACTGGGAGACAGTGAGTTCTAGTCCTGCCTTAGGCACGAAAGCTGCATGTAGCTGGGTCACTGGGCCAATTAGCAGGAGACTGGGAGTTCTAGTCTCAGGCATGAAAACCAGCCAGACTGGACAAATCACCAGGAGACTGGTAGTTCTAGTCTCACCTTAGGATGAAAGCCAGCTGGGTGACTTTGGGCCAATCACCAGGAGACTGGGAGTTCTAGTCTAGTCTCACCTTTAGGATGAAAGCCAGCTGGGTGACTATGCATCAATCACCAGGAGGCCGTGAGTTCTAGTCCTGCCTTAGCCATGCAAACTGGCTAGGTGACTTTGAGCCAGTCACTCTCTCTCGGCTCATGCAGTCCAACTCGGGCAATAAGCCAGTCAGTCCATATTTTTTGTCACAATCAGTGGATCAACACTGGTGTCATTGTGGGGACGCTTCCTTTGAGCCCCAAAGTATTAAAAGATAATTATAAAACAATTCTCCACGTTGGCTGGGTAATTCCAGAGCTTGAAGCCCGTCTGTTTTGAAGTGAGGAAGGTTGAGAAATGCTTCTATTAGGGGACCTCTCTGTTTCGCAACAGTGCCGTGGAGAAGAAAAAGAAACTGGTGCAGAAGATCGAAGAAGAGCTGGCGAAGCTGAAGTTTCAGGCCACCGACAAAGAGGAAAACAAGCAGATCGCCCTGGGCACCTCTAAGTTGAATTACCTGGACCCCCGCATCACCGTGGCCTGGTGGGTAAAGGGCAGCTAGAAGGGGGTTTAGAGGGAGGATGAAGTAGGAGGAACTTGTAGGAGAAGGAACGGCAGAATCTGGAAGGCAGAGTCAAGGATAGGCATCAGCCTAGAATCCCTACGTCAGACATGTCAAACACAAGGCCTGGGGGCCGGATGCAGCCCGCGAAGTGGTTTCATGTGGCCTGCGAAGCCGTCCTGGAAACAGTGAGGGAATGGCCCCCTCTGCCTTGGCCCTGGCCCAGGCCGGCCGGGAGCCAATGTACAATTTTGTGGTGGCCAACTATGCTGAAATGCATTCAGTCTTAGCTCCACAAGGCCGTCTGGAAACAGCGAGGAACCAGCCCCTGCCGCGTCGGCCCTGCCCCCTGGGTGCATGCTGGGGAGGGGTCACCCTTTGTGAGGAATGAAGAAATGCACCATCGCCTGGAAGTGGCCAGCAAATGGCCCTCGCCTACTTCACATATCTGGCTTGATGGGGAGGGGTTTTGGCAGACTCTTCCAGTGGACCATGCCTTGGCGCTTGCCCTGGTCCCACCCCCTTCTGCCAGAGACCCTCAGATCTGTCCCACTCCTGCCCAGTCCCCCACAGGCACCCTTGACGCAAACGATGTAGAGCTGGCCATGCCCACCCAGTAGGCCACACCCACTCCATCCACGCCCACCCAGTAGGCTGCGCCCACCCTGGCCACAGCCATCCGGCCCCCCAAGGGCAACCGCAATGCTGATGCGGCCCTCAATGAAATTGCGTTTGACACCCCTGCCCTACGTAGTCACAAAGTCCAATCTCCCTTGAATTCCATTATACCAGGCTAGGTAACCTCATCAAAGCAGTAGATTTAGTTTCAGTCTCCCGCAGTGGTGACGTTAACGAACCTACTGACAAAACATCTGAACAAAAAACAACCAAGTTCGGAGAACGTTAAGAATTGAGAAATTCAACCGTCCGCTTCGTATGCTCTCAATTTGGGGAGGCTGCCGAGGATGTTATCTAACATATTTTGATAACGTCACAGTTAATCTACTATGGATTGTTATCTCCTTTCACATTTCTTAGGTTACTCTATATCAGGGCTTTTCAACCAGTGGTACGGGTACCACCTGTGGTACATTGGCACATGGCAGGTGGTACGCGAGCATCCTAGAAAAGTGGTAGCAGGGGAGGGGAATGAGCTGAACCGGTGGCAGCACCGCACAAGCCTGAGCGAGAGATGGCTGGAGCTGCAGGGCTGTCAGGGCTCAGCGGAAGCGCCAGGATCCAGCTGGAGCTCGGCGCTGATCCTGGCGCTTCTGCTGAACCCAGAAGAAGCACCGATCAGCTGGAATGTTGCAGCCTCTCCAGGGTCTTGTGATTTACATTCAGAGGCTTGGCAACTGATTCATATTTATGACGGTCCCAGTGTCCCAGGGTCATGTGAAGTGACCAAAACCTGCTGCAACCACCCAGCAGAGGGGGGGGAATAAAAACCAAATACCCCCCCACCCCACCCCCGCTGCCAATCCTCAACAGAAATGCTCACAACAATGGAAACCTCGGACAGGAGGAAGAGCACCACCAGGCGGGCAGGCAGGTGTCTTGCTCGGCTGTTGCTTGGGGGGCACTTTTTTCAGTGCCATTGTAACTTCGAACAGTCACTAAGCGAACTGTTGTAAGTCGAGGACTACCTGTACTTTATCACTTTTTTTCTTTTGGTCATCCAGTTTTTGACCCCTTGCTAGGCGACTGGTGGTACTCGGATGTTGCCCTATCCTAAAAGTGGTACAATGGATGAAAAGGTTGAAAAGCCCTGCTCTATATAACCTAAGAAATGGTGGGACCATTGCAAAAGGCTTGTGGGATTTGATCTAGCTATGTAGGGGAATGAGGGGCAGAACCCAGGGGTGGAGTCAAGAGAGGAATCAGCCTAGAATCCCCTACGTAGCCACAAACAAAAGCTAACCTCCCTCGAATTCGCTTAATCCTTATCTCATTCCTAGCAGGTTACCCACTATTAGTTGAGAAGATTCCTATACACCGGTCTTGTAGCAACAAGTCAGTTTAAATGTACCTTCGCTTGTGGATCTGGTCTTTCGCTCCTAACAGAACTGGAGTCCTGCTTAAAATAGAAGTGAAGGGTCCTTGGTGCTCTCTGAGCTTGCTTGCTTTCTTGCAGACGTTTCATGGCCCAACAAGATAACATCATCAGTGCCAGAAGGGAGTTGAGTTTGGAGGAGGAGGAGGAGGAGGAGGACTGTGGGGTCCTTGGTGCTCTCTTAGCTTGCTTGCTTTCTTGCAGACGTTTCATGGCCCAACTAGGTAGCATCATCAGTGTTACTAAGGAGTGTTGTTTGCTGTCAGTTTACATTCTGGTGTCTTGCCTGTCTGGGGGGTGGGGGTGGGGGGAAGTCTTAGGGATCTTTTGGTTGGGCTGTTTACTAATGGCTCTTTGGCAATTTCTTTTTTTTTTTTTTCAACAAAATTTTTATTGGTTTTATTTTACATGGTGGCAAGGCCATCAATTAATCAAAACAAAATCATATTTATACAATTCAAATTATTTCAATATAATTAACTCAGTTATACATATAACTAATCTATTATTATTTTAATATATCCTACTTCCCCTTAAGTCAATACTAGTAACTCTATTTCTAT